AAATACCTTCCTCTCAACCATGACGCTAGTCGCCTCGACGCAAGGTGACGGTCAACGCTGCGACGTACCTAAATCTACGCCGCCACAACGCTAGATGAAATTAGTATACAGGGTGTTTCCGAACTTGGCGTCCAAATTTGTAGGGGTGGTAGTTCGCATAATTTGAGACCAATTCGCCGATTTCATTTTTCCAAAATATTTAAAATAAAAATAATTAAAATTTAATTAAAAATTTTAAACAGGTACGGTCCTGCACGGGGACGGGATCAACTCGACTCGCGCGCGCTACGCTTAGAATCGACAAAATTGCAAATCGCACCTGTTTTTCAGTTCTAAATCCCGATGAGTAACCGATCAAGCGACTATTGCGCTACGCGCTCAGGGTAGGACCCGCTCTTTGATTTTTTTTTATAATGGCTCTATTTTGTTTATTATAATTTTTTTAGAAAAATGAAATCTGCCAATCACTCTCAAATTATGCGAACTACCACCCATACAAATTTGGACGCCAAGTTCGGAAACACCCTGTATAATCCTAATGTCTGTATTTTCAATGGCGAGTCAAAAGATTTATGTAACTTTTTTTGAGGTATCACTGGGGTTTCGTTTAAAGGAGGGCTTGACATTTTCTGCAATGTAACCAATAGACCTTTTCATCACATATTTTTTTGTGCGCATGCGTCAGTATCAGCCATCTTTTTCGTACTGTTATTTTTTGTAAACAAGCATGTTAAAATATCCACGTGAAAAAAATCATAATAGATAAATATTAATTTTAAGTGTATTCGTTTAAAAAATGGAATAAAAAAAGTAAAGTAATAAGTGTCTTAATTGAAAAATTAATTTTTGCAATCAATTAATTGTGTTATCTTTACGGAAAGGAAAAACTAAACGGTATTGTTATGAGTATGTAAAAGTGACAAACGGTATAAATTATTATTTTATAAAAAGACTTGCCTGCAATATCGTAAAAAACCACAACTCATTAGGCAAAATCCATATTAAAACATGTTCAAAATGAGCAATATAAGTGAAAAATGTGGTCGAAGTGACAAAGGTTTTCGATCAATTGATGGATGATGTTACTATAGATAATTATATTTGGATTTACGGAGAAAGTGGTTCAACAGAAGAAAATCCTTGTCTGGTATTACACAATATTTTTTAATATTAAATACTACTTCGGTGTATACACAGTAATATTATTAAAAATGTCATGTTGATCCTTAAAATTTTAAATAATTTTTCAATCTTATTAATTATACCCGTGATTAACTTTCATGTGTTTTTTGCAATTATTAATAGTTGGCATAATTAATTAGAATCGAGTTATAAGTATTATTTGTTTTCATTCATTTTTTACAGTTAATATGTATTGAAACCTAACCTTTTAATCACCACACTTTTTTTCCTTGTTCCGAACGTCCACGTCACTTTAAGAACCTTTTTAATTGCTCATATCTATGTGTTTCCACAGAGTTATAAAAATGTAAATCACCATCAACGATTTTTTCTAATGATTTATTTGTATGTAGAGATAATATTGCTTTTCCAGCTATTGATCAAAACAGTACGAAAATTTTGAATTGGCTCTATTTCAACATGGCGGCTGCGCTTGCGCTCATCACATGGAGAAAAGGCCTATAAACCACATAACCTTCAGGTCATACACCTCGACAGACATTTAGGATAAACATCTGTTTTAGATGGGTGAAATTTTGAGTATTTCAGTAGAAATTATAAAAATCAATATTAAGAAATATACAGGGTTATATGAAGTTATTTCAATAGAAATTATAATAATCCCAGATAGCACACGACGTCTAAGAGACGTCTTTTTTGTGTCTTGGTTTGGTCTCAATGTCCTAGGACGTTATTAAGACGTCTTGCAAAAGCCATAATTCAGACGTATTAATGTGAAAGCTCAAAGACGTTCTTAAGACGTCTTGCCAAATCCATATATTAATGTGAAAGCTCAAAGACGTCTTATAAACGTCTTTCAGTCGGACTGAAACTTGCACTGTTTATCAAGAATCAAATGAAGTGAAGTTTGACGTTTGACTTAACATTACATTCAAGCCAGACTTCCGATTCGGACACCGTCGTGGCAACATTGAAATGGCGGTCTCCGAATCGGGAGCCCAGAAGTCCCATAAAAATAACAAAATATCTAGTATAAAAGTGACCATCCGACTTTAAAAAGTATACAAAATTAAACAAAATATTTAGTGTAATATTTGGAGAAGAATATTAAAACGAAGAAAATAAGAAGAAGTACATTCAAGCCCAAGTCAAAAATTTGTATGGCCCAAGCTTATTGTGGATTATTGATTATTTTATTGCGTACCTGCGCGATTATAGCCACCAAAAGCGTCTTTGGGTTATTTTGAGCATTTGTGTCTTTCTACTTAAATAATATGGGACAAAAACCAGAAAGGGAAGAATAGTTTCTGTTACCGATGTAGCACGTTCCTGGAATACAGGTAATAAATGAATATTTGTTTATGTACATAGAACATTAAGTAAGAATAATTGAATTAATTTAAAAGTACACATCTTAATATAAGATCTAATTCAGATATTCGTCAGTTATTATTTTGTTTTTATGGTGATTTTGAGAGCTATTAATATAAAAAACCCCTTATTAGATAGCCATTTTGAGTGAAGTTAAAGTAAAATTGTGAAAGTAGGCGATTAAGCATAATAGCTCATATTGCATTAAATGATTATAAAAATTCTTTGATTTAAAATTCTAAGAAATTATTTTTTTTTGTTTTATTTGTTTTACTAACTTTTGCAAAGTATATTTTTTTGTGACTAGATGCTCTTAACTAAATTTCTTTTTAGGAGGCAACTACAAATCAAAGAGAAATAGAAAAATCAATCCAGTTATGGCTAAAGAGTAGTGATCGAATGCGCTACAAACAAAATAACTCTTAGTGACCTGTGATTAATAGATATTTTATCAATAAATATTTTTAATTCTATTTTTTGCATTCTTTATAACCTGCAAGATTCTTCTACTAATATTTTAATAACCAAGGTATCCGACGTCCTCCGTTCATAAGATATCTTAAAGACGTCTTATTTATGGCTTTACAAGACCATTATAAGCTATTAATAAGTCATCTTAAAGACGTCTTATTTATGGCTTATTTAAAGTTTCACAAGACCATTATAAGCCATTAATAAGATGTCTTATTTATGGCTTCACAAGACCATTATAAGCTATTAATAAGTAGTCTTAAAGACGTCTTATTTATAGCTTATTTAAAGCTTCACAAGGCCATTAATAAGACGTCTTAAAAATGTCTTCTAAGGCATCTTAAAGAAGTCTTTCAGGAAATACCAGACTTCTTAAAGACGTCTGTAATGTCTTATGCTAGACGACTTTGTGCTATCTGGGATATAAAAAAATATACAGGGTTGTATTAAGTTAATTCAATAGAAATTATAAAAATCAATATTTTAGAAATATACAGGGACGTGCTACCTTGGATAAATTGTACAAACCAAGATGGTAAAGTTTAATAGTAAATTAACCAACTGGTGATTACACTGTTCCTTAGCTCAAGGGGGGACACCTATACGCTAAGCCACCCATTCTACAAGGTTTGAAACAAACTGTATGTAAAATCAACATAGGAAAGTAACCAACTGGCAAATTGGCGCTGTTTGTTATTTCCGTTGGTCATAACCTCCCTCTATACTCGTCGAAATGTACCTAAGAGGGTACATCCTGTGTACATCTAGAATAGAATCAAATCAACGTCAACCCAGTAGTTAACCAACTGGCGAATTGGCGCTGTTCGTTAACTCCGTTGGTCATCAACCTAAATAAGAACATAAATATTAACACAATAGTTAACCAACTGGCGAATTGACGATGTTCGTTAATTCCGTTGATCATCAACCTAAATAAAATATATCTTTGATAGCAAATGAACGGGACTCAAGTGAGATCTCAGAAAATAGTACCAATTGTAATATACTTTGCTAATTATTGCATCACATTTAAAGTATAAAAAATGAGAGTTTAAATATAAATTTGTCTGGTTTTATTTATCAATTTGAACCAAATTTTGCATCGAATCCCGGTTTATCGTAATTAACATTATCACAACGTGGGTATATATTAATTATAAATTAATTAACTAGACGATCACTTTTACTACTAGAGGAAAAAGGCCAAATACAGTAAATAGAATTTAAAGTAAAATAAACTTGTGAGGTAAATAATAACATTTCAGAGAGTAAAATAACGATCAAAACTATTTTGAGCAAGAGACCTCTTTTCCAAAATGAATTGATACTTCAGACCCCATAGCCAAATTACTTTAAAAATCCTATCTCTAGTTTTTCTCTATTGATAAAAATACCAATTTAAAACTTGGCGGTTGGTTCAGTAAATTTGACATCAGTTTCTCATCAAAATTTAACATAACAAATAGACATAAAATTCAGTAAATATCAAGTGTAATTAATAATTGAAGGGTACAGGGCAAAAACCAACAGTCCAAAAATGATAATTTTCAGGAGAAAGAAAACAAAATTTAAAACGATAGAAATCCGACGCTTTTGAAGCTTTTCCAGACAAATATTTTTTTATATTTAGTTCGATATGTACTTTTTTTTAATAGCTAAAGTAATGTTATGATTGTATTTTTTATTTTGTAGTTGGTTATTTTTTATTTAAACAAAATGATGACTGAGTTGGTCTTTCTTCTCGACAGAAAAAAACTATATTTTTTAAATTCTTTATTTCGCTATTATAGGCATTTCTACATGATAAATAATATAAAGAATAAGACAATCCGTAAACTAAAGACTGAAATAATCTGATTTCTAAAAATCACTTTGATCATCAGGCACATCATCTGATTCTGGTTCTGGTACAGGCCGGTTAGCAGAGTTAGTAGTACTCTTTAGATCCCTCTTCTTCACAGAATTTCATTAGAACTTTTAGATCGGCACACTTTTCTTTGAGCAGAGGTATATGGCTATGATAGAGCTGGTTGGGTTCTTGAAGATCTGGAACTTTTTCTTGTACAACTTGGAGGACAAAAATTGCCCCATCCTTTAAACATAACTTGTTCACATGATACCACAACAAACGGATACGGCTTGGTTCGGGCGGCTTCTATAACCTCTCTCCAGCCATCTGGAGTTTCGGCCTTAGCACTTTTGGGGATCAACCCCATGTTTTTGTCGGGCTCCATGAAGGAATAGCCGCGCACTGGGTAAGTGATTGTCACAGTGTCAAATCTTTTTAGATCAGCAGTTACTTAGTGGAGAAACTGGATATTGTGTGGTTTTTGTTTTGTCCCCGTACGAATCGGCGAAGATATAAAGTTTCTTAACAGCAGGATCCAGGTAGGTGTTGAAAAAATGATAGAGCATTAAGGCAACATCATCTGACCCTTTCTTTGCGACGGTTTGGTCGTAGGTGTACATTACTGAAGCACCAGTTGACAAAATATGCACATTGAAAATATAGAACAGCTGTCTTCTGAAGTACACTCCAGCAGAAGTTATATTCGGAGTAGCTTCAGTTTTTTCACGCCTTTTCAATTCATAGAACCGATCTACTCTCTTCAAATGAAGTATCTTTTCAGTTTCTAGCTTCCTACCTTCCTTGTCTAACTTTACCTTTTTGTCATCACTTTTTTCAGCGGCAATTTTCCTATCCAGCTCAGTAATTTTGGCTTTCTGCTCATCACATCAACATCACGTTTCGGTTCGTGGATAACCGAATGCGATGTTGAACTCTGGCACGAAGATTTTCCTGAACGTTTCATAACACATCTCAATATGGGGCTGCATGTTTAGTCAAAAATAATGCAAGAAGCTTTTTAACATTCATATCTTCCGGGAGGTATACTCTGTTAGAGTTCTTCAAGCTGTAGTGCGCTTTACGTCCCTGCAATAACAACTCACAGGTTTGTTCAGACATCTTATGAGGTCTATTGGTATGCCTTCCCCTTCCATCAATCGGCGGCTCGCCAGTTGTTCTTAAAGATGTTTTGATTGTATCTGTTCAAAAGGCTTTAATTCCAAAGTGATTGAAATGCTTTAAAACATACTGGCACCTCTTCTGCTCTGCCATTCCTTATAACTCTTACTTTGTAGCTATAGCTTTCATTCAATCTAGCATCATCTTTATTTTGCCTTGGCCTTCGTCGAAAAACAGGTCGTGATGAGATAAGGCCAGATAAGTAACTATTTTGGGCATCATGACTATTCTCACGTCCAATATTATTAAATTGTCTTATTAACTCACTTTGTTCGGCGACAGAAATATTCTCCAAGCATCTATACCGCTTGCATTGGCAGCTTTTTCCGGTTTCAAACGTCGAGGCCCTTAGCTTCTTAGCAACATCTCTAAGGCGGCCATATTTTTTACGCTTTTTTGTTGACTTGGCAAGTGATCTTTACCTACTGAAATAAGGCAGCACTTTTGGTGAAATATAATTAATGAGAATAATAAACATATAAAGGTGAAATATTATGTTTCGTACTTTACTGGATAATAATTACGACTTGACAAAAACTTTCTGAACTAACGTCTAAGTCTCCTTAAAGATCTAAAATGCAATACAAATGGCTCTTGCAATACAATTGTTCTAATCACATTTAAAAATCCTTATTAAAAAACATTTTGTTAGCGTAATTTACTGGGTGGTATGCGATATGGTATTCAGGAATGTTCGAGTTCCCATCTTTAAACTAATTACCTTAAAGCTAATCTATGGGACACAATATTTTTTTGCCTGCTATAGCTATTATCAATGTTAAACTCAAATTATTTGAATGTTTGGCTGGAAGATGCCTGAATATGTAACCAAACTTTCACGAGTGCCTGGTTTCAGGACCTTACATTCCTATTCCAGGTTCTTCCGTAGGTTTAGAACCATCCTATCTTCGATGTATTCCTTTCTACAGTTTTTCACAAATTTACTTCTTCATAATTTCGTCCTATATTTAACGAATTTAGTTCATTATTTATCGAATCTACGTAGCGGGAAATTAAAGGAAGAGGAATGAAATAATGAAAAACACCTTAAAAACATGAACTTCTTTATTCAACCATTTTCACAAACGATGAGTACTTACGTTGAACTCGGATATTAAGCATAACAATAGGGCAAAATTAACCCGCTCATGTCTTTATACCTTCCTACATGTCATTCTCTAAGCAGTCTTATTTGGAAACACATCTTATATGGTTAACCCTGTTAGTTCAACTGTGTGGTCCTAAATATGTAGGTAGCTAGTTTTTTACTGTCAAAGATTTAGACACCTTAATATAATTTCAGACATGTACTGGCAAGTGGTACACATTTTTGGTTTGATTGTATGCGTGGATTGGATATTTTTATTTATTCATTTATTTTAGTAAATATCAGAGAAAATTGAACTTTGTAAAAGGAGATAGCATAAATTAGTTCAATTAGTAATCTATTCCATTTTTTTTGTTATTTTTTAGGACCTGCCTCATTTAAAGTACATAATTAAGATTTTTACGAAGTTGGAAAGTTTTCTTCTAGACCAGCTAGTTGTTTCTTTATCACAATGATTATCACATTCTTTGTTTTTTCTTACCATAATCAATAAGAACAGCATTATAGAGTGTATAATGTACGCTATTTATCTGTTTTGTTATAGTTTTTATTTTAATAGTGCCAGATTCATTTTGAGAAGAAACGCATCATCCAATTCAATTTTAGATAATATTTGGTATATCTATTGTATGCTTACAAAATGAGGTATTAACGATTTAGGGACAGTTTAGAAATTTAACTTCTCTATGTTCATAGAAAGAACTTGAACTACCACTTGAAAAACTGTCTGTATTCTAGAAGATGAAGAATTCTTTTTATTTTATTATTAAACAAATTCTAAGAATAAAATATTTTATATGTATACAGTGAGCACTTAAAGTTGGAGCAAATTCGTTAAAAGCTTGATATAACCATCGGGGAAAAAAGCTCAGACAGGTCGATTTTCTTTTTCAGTTGCGCCTTTTTTGGTCTACTTATATTTTTGATGACGTCATCACTGTTCGAGTTATGACGTCATCATTTTTTTTATATGGCAATACCATATTTTGATAATACCTTTAAAAATAACGCATTTTTCTGTGTATGGATGGCATATTTTTTCTTATGTTACATAAAAACATTTCCAGAAATTAATTCAGGGATAATAAAATACGCATGTTTCTTATTTTCGTTCCGCGGTGACACTGACTGTAAATACTTTTTAAAATTACTTGTTATCGGTTTAAATTTTTTCTAAGAACATGTCTCATTTACAATAATTCGACTTCACAATAATAGTTAGTTATCAAATAATTGTGGTATAAATAAGTTATCGACATCATGGCCTGTTTAAGCGAAAAGCAACGCATATGGATTTTAATGATGATAGGTTATGGAGATAAGGCCCATACGCAAGCTGAAGTTTGTAACTTATTTAACAATAAATATCCCAAGAGACCTATTACACGTTAGACGGTGAGCAAAGTCGAAGCAAAATTTAGAAATTTTGGCAATGTCGGTGATAATTATAAGGAAGGTCGTCCAGGCGTTACGGGAGATCAACAATTGGATGTATTATTATAATCATTGCAAGAAAATCCTGATAAACCTACTCGTTAAGTTGCACTGGAGCAAGAAATGTGTCAAACATCTGTTTTAAAATGCATAAAAAAGAATAAGTGGCATCCGCATAAAGTGCAAGTAACAGCAATGTGCTTTCTTAGACCTTCTGCTTAAATGGTACAGTAAATAAGCATAATTGTAGGTAAAGGGCACCAGAGAACTCTCACTGGAAGGGCACACTCAGTATCCACAGAGAGTCAACGTGTGGGCGGGAATAGTTGATAATACAATTGTGGGACCTTTTTTATTGACGGTTCATTGAACGGTGACAAATATTTGGATTTACTGCAACATCACATAATTTCCGCATTTGCGGTTCTGTACCCACATCATCAAAATCCTCAGCTACCCAACAATTCACTATAGTACTAGCAAGATGGAGCGCCACCGCTTTACGCACGACATGTAAGTGAATACCTAGATATGTTTCCCAATAGATGGATTGGCAGACGAGGATTTTTAGAGTGGCCAGCTAGATCTCCTGATCTAAACCCACTAGATTTTGTTGTGGGGACACCTTAAGTCAAAAGTTTACGTTAACAAACCTAATACTATTGAGCCTTGCAATTTAAGCGCTTAATTTAATAGGTTGTAGGTTTATTTAGTCCTGTTGTCATTTTTATAAATTACATTATTAGAATGAAAATAAATATCTTTCATTTCTCGAACAAAAGGTTATGTAATAAAAGAAAATATGACTGCTATACACAGAAAAATGCGTTCTTTTTAAAGGTATTGTTGGCTTTTTTTTTTCGGGGCTTTAGCCAAACTTAGGTTCTCGTCAAGATGCTTTAGGGTAAGGCCATTAAGGGTGATAATTAGAGAATACGGCACTTCAAAAATAAACTAGATACGTATTAACACAAAGAAATATAACAATAACGTTAAAAAAATAGTTTTTTATGGACTCCACCTCGACTTCTCACGCTTCCGATGTTCACTCTCTTTCCACTCTTCCTCAACTGACATTTCAGTCATACCAACTTCTTAAAAAACAATATAGGTAACCTAATAAACAAAAATTTACAACAGTATATTACCAAAATAGTCTATTGTCATTTAAAAAAAAAATTATAATGACGTCATAACTCGAACAGTGATGACGTCATCAAAAATATAAGTAGACCAAAAAATGCGCAACTGAAAAAGAAAATTGCTTTTTTCCCCAATGGCCATATCAAGCTTTTAACGAATTTGTTCCAACCTTTACGTGCTCAGTGTATAATTTAACTAACATTTTATTGGTTTTGTACTCTTAAATTTTCAGGCACCCTAGGGTGATGATTTTTAATACTGTTTAATATCCCAATTTTATGTTGAGTTTTGAATTTTGGATTTTATTTATTTATTTAATGCCGTAAAAAGAATTATTCAATAAGAACATCTATTCATATTGAGCAATAATATATTTACTTTTTTCAAAAACAAGGATGCATGACATGCCGGAATATACGGGTAAATTTATTGTATCTGACGGGGTCAAGTAATATAAAAATAAAGTATAGGTAATTCACTGAATTTACACCCATATCGGATTAAGAAACAGATGCACGACTGAGCCGGTCTACAGGATAATTTAGCATCAGGTAGTTGAGTAAAATAAGCGTAGTCCTCCGGTGGGTATATTTTAATTATTCAATACTTATATAGTATGTAATTATGTTTATTAAAATTAAATTACTAAAGTAATACACGAAAAAATTAAAATATTTTTAATTTTGGTTTGGACATTGTTTATGGTAATACCATTTTCCCCGAATACAATAAACGCTTTATGGTCACGAATTTCCGGAAGTCCCCTTCTCAGGTCTAAAAATGTTCTATTTTTGTACTGATGTTATAGGACTAATTGTGCTAAATTATTTAGATCAGTTTTGGATTTCGAAGAGAACGTATGTCGAAACTGAAAATGCCGAAGCGCGTGTTACGTGTAAATGACTTAATTTGTAATCTACATAAGTGTTTCACGGTGGAAAAAGATAACGGAGATAAAGCCAGTAGTGAGTGTGCATGAACGCGTCTGTACACCTCTCGGTATTAGTGATTCAAAATTAAAATATGTTTTGAAAAACGTCAAAAGTGGCTAGAGCAAAAAAAAAGAAAAAATACACACCTTGTAAAAAACTGAAAACGTCGGATATATCTGGTGGGACAAAATTTCGTATTCGTGATATGGTGTATGAAATGCGTGCAAAAAGTAACATGTCAACTTAGACACATTGCTGGCTAACTTAAGAAAAATACAAATTGGTGAATTTGGCAGAACAAGTCTTTGGAAGTTGCTTAAGGAAATAGGTTTCAAATTTAAGAAAGAAGATAATAGAAAAGCTTTATGTGAAAAAAATAATGTTGTTCACAAAAGAATACATTTTTTAAGAGAATACACTCATTTAAAAGAGAATGGAGCTTCGTTTATACATTTGGATGAAACCTCGATATTTTC